CGTCTGGCTTAGGGACCGCCCTCACCTGGCCAGAAACCACCCATGCCCCTCCCCACTCATTGATTATTGGATGGAAATCACCTGGTTCCTCCCTTCCCATAGGTCAGCATAAATTTTAAAAGTACCTGTAGAAGAGATGCACGCCCTCTCTGCCTCCAGATTCCTCCTGCACCCACCATGCTCCCTTTTGTACTGCCCTTCCCTAACTTCTAATAAACTCCATTTACACCCACATGTCCTGCCCTTTACTCTTCCTGGTGAGACACCAAGGATTTGGAAGTCTAATCACAGACTGCACCCTGCTGCCAACACTGGGATGTCTAACAGTGTCTGGAAAGTAACATGTAAAAACTAAACTTTTTGATTGGGTGCTGGTGGCTCATGCCTGTAATCCTAGCTACTCAGTAGGCCAAGATCAGGAGGGTTACCATTCAAGGTCAGCCCAGGCAAATAGTTTTTGAGACCTCCCCATCTCCAAAATAAGCAGAGAAAAATGAACTGGAGATGTGACTCAAATGGTAAAGTGCCTGCTTTGCAAGTGCAAATGTTAAACCGAGTTCAAACCTCAGTCCTACCAAAAAAAAAAAAAAAAAAAAAAAAAAAAACCTTTTTGGTTGTGTCATTAAAAACTTATCCTTTTAAAGACTTCCCTCTGGCTGGAAATACCATGCACACAGCTGGGCACATTAACCATAATTTCTTCCTTTTCTCACCACCTCCCAAATCTAATCCAACCCTATGTCCTTGATTGTACCTCCAAAATACACCCTGAATCCATTCTCTCCACTGCAGTCTTTTAACATCACCTGTCACCTAGGTGACTGCAATGGCCTCCTGAATGGTCTGCTGTTACTGCAGTCTCTGGCAGTCTGTGCTCCTGGCTGCCAGACAAGGCTTTATATTTTGAGATTTAAATCCAATCACATAACTTACCTGCTTAAAACTGCCAATGGCTTCTTTCCCATTGCACTTGGCATGCTGTTCTTTGAAAGAAATCCCTTTCAAGATCTATAGGCTGTGTACACCTGGCCCTGACTGTCCTGCCCATGCCTCCACTCACCCTCTGTTCCACTAAGCCTGAGCTATTCTGGCCTTTTCTTCATTTTCCATCACGCCAAGCTCTATTCCATCTCAAGGTCTTCCAGTTTCTCTCTGTCTAGATCATTCTTAGCTAAGTTACATACCTAATGTCCATCTTGATCTTGCACCTCCTCAGGAAGTTTTCCCTTGAATTTGAACTTAGGAGCTCACACTTGCTAGGCAGGCACTTAAGCCACTCTGCCAGTCGTTTTTTTGATGGATTTCTCCCAGATAGGGTCTTAAGAACTATTTGCTTGGGGCAGGCTTCAAACTGAGATCCTCCAGATCTCTGCCTCCTGAATAGCTAGGATTACAGGCGTGAAAATACTGGCACCCAGCTCCCTTGATCTTCTCTGAGTAACTCCCCCTACCTTTTCCACTTCCTAACTCTACCCTCTATCACTGCAGCATGTTTTTAAATTCATCTCAGTCTTTGTGTGTGTGTGTGTGTGTGTGTGTGTGTGTGTGTGTGATACTGGGGTTTGAACTCAGGTTGTCACACTTACTAAGCAAGTGCTCTACCACTTGAGTCATTTGAGCTATGCCCCCACATACGATTAGCACTTTTGACTGGGGCCAAACTTAGACCAACATCCTCCTACCTTTGCCTCCCATGTAGCTGGGATTACAGCTGCTGTGCCTGGCCAGTCCTGGCTTTTTGGTGGTCTTTCCCACCAAACTGTTGGTTTCACAAGGGTTGGGATCATGTCTGTTTTATTTTCTATGCACCTAAGCCAGAGCCTCTCATACGGTAAATACTCAATAATTTATTGAACAAATGGATCACCAACGTCTTCTCTCTCTCTCTTTTTTTTCAGTGTTGGGGATTGAACCCAGAGCCACATACCTGCTAGGCAAAATGAATGGACTGTTTAGGCCTATACTGTGTGATGACAGAGATGACCCAGTTAGTATTGCCAGGGGATACTATGAGTGCCACAGTCTGATGAAAAACAATAGGTAATTGAAAAACTGGTCCTATAGTGGCGATCTGGAGGCAGAGGTAGAGGCAATAGAATACAGAGGCTCCCATCCCACTGCAGGGTATGTAGTGTGAAAAGAAAGGTGGTGTTCAAGACCCAAGGCACCAGCATCTCCCTGGAGTCTGCCAATTTCTGTGTGTTGTTTCTTGTTTCTAGTGTGCTATAAGTCATGTAGCTTCTTAGTGGTAGAGCTGGGATTCAAAACCAGGCAGGCTGATGCCAGAGCCTGTGTCCTTTTTAAAATAATTTGAAGTGAAATTCACAATGTAAGGGAAACAATGACAGAGGTGACTCCGTTTTGGATGTGAGAGGAACTTTAAAAACAGACATCTAAAGAGCCGTGGCTTCTCAAAGAAATAACCCCTTACCAAAATTACAAAATGCAGCTGCATAATGTGGGGAGTGGGCCCCCCTTTAGGATGACTTTTTTTTTTTTTGCAGTACTGGGGTTTGAACTCAGGGCCTCACACTTGCTAAGCAGGCATTGTACCACTTGAGCCACTCTGCCAGCTCCAAGTTACTTTAAAATAATTGTTTAGAGTCTGTAGATGAAAAATGATATAATTCAAATATATCATTTATACAACCTGGACTAAATACTGATGAAGTGTTTAATCAGACAAACAACTGAGAAGCTTAGAGATAACCAGTACAATTTCATATGAGGAAAAGCTCAGCCCAACTAAAATTCTCAGTTGCCCAGTGGCAACTAATGTTGTACAGGTGTACATATCAGCTGATGCAGCTGAATGGATGGGATACCCATTCTTGCTTTTCCCTATTTTGCCTTCTCACATATCTGGTAGATATGTGAGAACCACACACTTTAGTTTGGCTGCCCCTGCAACAATCCCAAACCAAGCACTGCAATGATCCTTCTACACTTTAAAACCAGGAGTCCTGAATTCCAAGGAAACATTGTGCTCTCTCATCCTATTCAGTGGGCGCTCAGGGACAAAACCTGTACAACAGCAACCCCTAATTAACCATTCTAAAGTGAATAATTCGGTGCAGTTATCACAGTCACAATGTTGTATAACCGTCATGTCTAGTTTCAAAACAACTCGTGGGGCTGGAGGAGTGGCTCAAGTGGTAGATCACTTGCCTAGCAAGTGTGAGGCCCTGAGTTCAAACCCCAGTACTGCCAAAAAACAAAATAATTGGAATCAAAACAACTCGTTACTCCAAAGTTAAATTCTTGTCCATGAAGCAACTTCTCCCACTCTCTTTCATGTGTTGGTTTTCTTTTTTCTTTCTGCGGTACTTTTTGCCCTGGGACCAAACCCAGGTCCTCTCACTCATACTAGGCAAGCACTCTACCACTTGAGCCACACCCTCAGCCCTTTTGCTTTTGTTTTTGAGACAGGATCTCGCTGTAGGCTGGCCTGGAACTTGTGATTCTTCCTCTGCCTCCTGAGAAGCTGGGATTACAGTTGTATTACTTTTCTTTTCTTTCTTTTTTTTTTTTTTTTGTGCGGACATTTTGGTGGGACTGGGGTTTGAACTCAGGGCATCATCCATACAAAGCAGGAGCTCTACCGCTTGAGCCATGCCTCCAGTCCATTTTGCTTTGGTTATTTTGTAGATAGGGTCTCACAAACTATTTTCCAGAGCTGGCTTGAACTGTGATCCTTCCGATCTCAGTCTCCCAAGTAGGTAGGATTACAGACATGAGCACCAGCGTCCTGCATATGTCCAGTTTTTGATCATTATCATGACTCAAACTGTACACGTGAGGAAAATAAGGCTGAGTTCAGTGATAAGATCCACGATCCCATAGGCAGTAGATGCGGAACGTGATGTTGAACCTTTTTTTTTTGACTCCAGAGCCTAAACGTTTTACTAACACAAATCTCTCGGGGGAACCTACAAGGCAGGGACGAGATTTGAGTCTCAAAGGACTAGAAGAGAACAGGGAACTGGGAGCTATCAGTGCGCCCTCAACTGTAAAAAGCGCATGTTGAAGTAAAACTGCACTTTTTACGGAACAGGAGGTTGGCAACACCAACCGTGATCCAAGCCCAAGAACAGAGTTACAGGGCGGGACTTGGAGAGGTCAGAACCGCCGGAGGCGTTGCCAACACCTGGAGAACAAGGTGTCGTTCAATCCTCAGTAAGCGCCAGGCCTGGCGCCCAAAAGAGGCGGAAGTGCGCGGAGGGCGTGATTTTTCCTTCTGACCCGGCCTTCCCAAAAAAACCGCCTAGAACTGATGCGCAGCTGGAGAAAATGAAGTAGGAATCAGCTCTTGGCCATTCTGAGGGGGCCTCCTTAGTATCCGTCTTGTCCCTCCTGGAGAGGCTATCACCTCTCCTGGAACTTAGGGGCCCTTTCGCTGGAGCTTCCCTTTGCCCTTTGAAGATCAACGAGACTAAAGGTCCCTTTTTTAGGGGGTCTCAGATACACAGCACTCGTCTAAGGTGTCCTCAGTTTCCCTTCCTCCCTTGAGAGGGCTGGACAGACTCCTTCTGCCCCGAAGATCGAAGGTTTCTTTCACAAGCTCCCCACCTCCAGATTTAAGGTAGTGGCAGGGCTCTAGTTCAACAATGACCCACCCTCTGCCCAATCCCGCCCCTTGGGCTGCCCGAGGGAATCTCCATGGCAACCGAAACATCACAACTTCACGGAAGTATCGCGAGAAGCGCGGTTGCGTCCGCGGCCCCGGAGAGGCGGAGCGAGGGCGGGAACGCAGAACGGAGCGGGGTGGAGCTCGGGCCCTTTGGAGGTCCGCGTCGGGAGACTGCAGGCGGCGCCCCCGCGTGACTACGCTTTACATAATCGCCGCCTCGCGCGTCATAGTGGTGTACTCCACTCTGGACCCAATCGGAGTCCTCCGAAGCCCCCGTGTTCCGCCCTTTTCTGCTTGATCGACGTCCAAGTGAACCAGTGAGCGTCGTCGCGCCCGCCCCGGTTTGCCCCGGCCCGCCTGCGCCCGCCCGCCCGCCTGCCTGCCTGCCCGCCTGCTGCAGCTCGTTGCCTGCCGCCGCCGCCGCCAGGTTGTGCCTCAGACTGTCAGATAAATCGGCGGACTGGGTCGGCGGGGCGGTGATCACTGCCGGGGTCGGACATGGCGGCGCTCTACGCCTGCACCAAGTGCCACCAGCGCTTCCCCTTCGAGGCGCTATCTCAGGGGCAGCAGCTGTGCAAGGTGCGCGGGCTAGGGCGGCGACCGGGAACTGGGGACGCTGGAGGCGCGGCCCGGAACTCCCGGTTCTTCGGGGACGCCCGGCGGGGTCCCTAGGGCAGGGTGTGGCAGACCCGCCCAGCTGAGGAGTCACACCCGCCCTGCTGGGGCCGGCTGGGCACGTGGGGGAGTCCCAGGCCGAGTCAAGGCCCCCGCAACCCGCGTGTCAGGGTGCTTAGCAACCGTGGGGGGATTGTTCTCCGACCCGGTGCGGTCGGGGAAGGGGACAGCGGGTCCTCTGCTTGCCCCTCACCAGCGGTGCCGGGGATCCCCTTGGGTTTCCTTCCCTCCGCTGCGACCGGTAGCCCGGGTTGTAGACTAAGGGACCTCTTGCCCCGCCTGGACTTGAACTCCAGAGTTGGGTGCTGCCTGGGAGGAGTGGCTCGAATTCCCGACACTTCACCTGCACTTTTCAGCCAGTCTCAGAGTTGGAGGTGGCAAGGCTTTATCCCCCCATCCAAGCACTCGAATCAGACGGATGCCTCTCCAGCATCCAGTTGGTGGCCTTCGGTCCTCGCCCTAACCAATTTTTACCCCTGGAGTTCCAACTTCTCGTCTTCATTTAAATGGCTTCACCCCACTTAACCTATTTAAGTGAATAAAGATGCTGTAAAGCAACCGTTAAAAGTCATCCGACCCACTGAAGAGTGTCATTGAGAGGTAGCCTCAGAGGATAATCCAGAGTTTGTGTCTTTGATCTGAATAACAATTGTATGCCACTGTTGCCTCCAATGGCCATGACTTTACTTTTACCACTCTTGTTTATCAGGTCTGAAAGCACACAAGTGCATGAGTACCCTCTTTGTTCTTGAAAATTACAAGAAAGTTTTGTTTTACATAAACAAAAATGACTTTAATGTAGCACTTTTATTTCACAAGTAAATCTGCAGAAAATCACACACAGAGGCAGAAGAACCAATACTAGACTCTTAGGACTTCTGATTCTGAGTCTGGGGCTTATTTGTACGTTTGTTTTACAATTTATGGCTAGTTCCATACAAATTCTTACTCCTACATCAACAGCAGGGCAGTGATGCAAATGTTGTAGAGAAGGAAAATAAAACCCAGAAACTTGAGTGACTCGGGCATTATGACTATGTGAGGAACAGTACCTAGTACCTAGGTCTGTTTCCTATGAAGGCTGTTTCCATTTCTGAGTTCCTTTAAAAATTATATCCTCATTTCATTTCAGGAATGTCGGATTGCACACCCTGTTGTGAAGTGCACCTACTGCAGAACTGAATACCAGCAGGAGAGGTAGAGATCTGGTTGACCATGAAAGATGTGAATAGGCTTTTTTCTTTCTTTTTTTTTTTTTTTTTGGTAGTACTGGGATTTGACTCAGGGCTTGCTTCATGCTTCATGCTTGCTAGGCAGGCACTCTACCACTTAAGCCACTCCGTAATCCTCTTCTATGTTTCTTTGTGTCTCTATATCTCTCAGGCTTTTTCCTCTTGAAGTCTGAATACATTTCACATACAGATCTGTAATCGATTGTATTGTAATATACAGATCTGTAGTGAATTATACACAGATTCTACAGTTGCCTGTTATATTGAAGCGTGTGTAATACACATACTACTCTTTAGATATTGCTTATTGATTGCTTAAATTTTTATTTTTTATTATTTTTAGTGCTGGGGATTGAATCCAGGGCCTCAAGCATGTAAGCACATGCTCTAACACTGAGCTACATCCGCAGTCCCTGATTGCTTAAATTTTTAAAGGTACTTATTTTTTAGACTTTTTTTTTTTTTTTTCTCCCTGGTACTGGGGCTTGAACTCAGGGCCTTCACCTTGAGCCACTCCACCAGCCCTATTTTTTTTTTTTTTTTTTTGTGAAGGGTTTTTCCAGATAGGGTTTTTGCCGGAACTGTTTCCTCGGGCTGGCTTCGAACCTTGATCCTCCTGATCTCTGCCTCCTGAGTAGCTAGGATTACATGTGTGAGCCACCAGAGACTGGCTTTTTTAGACCTTTGATGAATGATTTTATAGGTGGTTATGATCTTTCTGACAATAAGAAATCAATCCTGGGCTGGTGGAGTGACTCAAGTGGCAGAGCGCTTGCCTAGAAAGCATGAGGCCCTGAATTCAAACCCCAGTGTCAACCCCCCCACACCCAAAAAGAAAAAAAGAAACCAATCCCACAGTAGTAAAACATGAGCCTTATATGCTCCAGTATGTAAATATACAGAGATTAAAGAATTTATAAGACTAAAGAAGATACATTTGGTAATGTTATGATCTTGATAAAAGGTTTGTTAATCCTAGCTATGTTTCAAACTAACTTGCTTTTACAGTTTCCTTAGGTGACTCATTTTTCTTTTTTTGAAATAGGGTTTCTCTATGTAGCTCAGGCTGGCCTCGAACTCATCTCCTCCTGCCTGTGTCTCCTGGCTGCTGGAATTGTAGGTGTGCACCACCATGCCTGGCTCCAAAATCAGTTTTGTGTGCTTTTATTTTATTTTGTTTTGTTTTGTGCTGGAGAGTGAACCCAGGGCCAGAGGCATGCTAAACAAGCACTCTTGTCACTACACTACTCTCCCAACCTGCCAGAAAATTGCTCTGGAAAATGTTTGAAGTGCCTTGTTTTTTTGTTTTTTGAAGTGTTAGCAAGGATTTATTTTAGTATAGCAGGATAAAACACAGAGAAGTGGGGGAGAGAAAGAGAAACATTTCCTTCTCCGCACACAGGAAATGGAAATAGAGAGTATCTTGTTTTAATTTGAATGTTTTCTACTCTGAAGTTTTTCTTTTGTCTATTTTAATTTTATGGTCACCTTCATACAAATTGGGAAAATAAACAGAAAATAGATTGGATTTTTATATGATATTATTTTTAGATCTAGGATATTCTTTTGTGCCTCTCCATGTGAAGCATTAGACATTATTTAAGGGTGATTCCTCTTAGGCACCTTTATTATTATTATTTATTTATTTTGGTGGGATTGGGGTTTGAACTCAGGGCTTCATGCTTGCGCAAGCACGTGCTCAACTGCTTGAGCCACACCTCCAGCCCGGGCACTTTTATTAGTTTAGGCATTAGGTAGTATTATGACCTCTGGATCTTCACAAGGCCATGGAAGTTTTTATTATTATTGTTTTTATTTTTTGTTAGTACTGGAGTTTAAACTCAGGGACTTGCACTTGCTAGGACAGCACTCTACTTCTTGAGTCATGCCTTCAGCCCAGGAAGTTTTTATTTTTGTCCATGCTTAACTCTTAGAGAAATCAGAAATGTTGACAAATTATTTGGTCATAGCATCTATTTCCCTACCTCTGGAATTTTCATACATTTTTACTTGCAGAAGAGAGGTGGTTAGAGTAAGGTCAACATGGATAGAGTCTCTTGAGTTTATATTCTAAACACATACTTTATTCCTCACCTTAAATTTGTCAGCTATTCATCTGAACTGGAGAGGATTTCTTTTCTGTAGTCCATTTCAGTCTAACATGTTTTGACATTCTTCTCTATATCTGGTTTTTGCTTAGAGATGTCATAATCAGAAATAACCCATTCTCCATTTTAACTAAATTATCATTTATTTGAAATAATGAAAGTATTAACCACATAATTAAGATAATTATTGGACCAGATGCTGGTGGCCCATGCCTGCAACCCTTGCTCCTTGGAAGGCTGAGATGGGAAGGATCATGGTTTGAAGTCAGCCTGGGAAAATAGTTCAAGAGACTCCATTGCTAAAATAATCAAAGCAAAATGGACTGGAGGTGTGGCTCAAGCGGTAGAGCATCTGCTTTGCAAGTGCGAAGCCCTAAGTTTGAACTCCAGTCTGCACCCCCACAAGAAGAAAGTTATTGGCCAGATATTCAAACTTCAGTTAACCAGTGTTTAGACCATATTTCTCCTTGCCCTTAGCAAATGAGTAGATTCCTTGGGTTTAAGGAGGAATTAGTTTTCAAATGTTCTAAGAAAAGCCTTGTGTCTCTTTTTTTCTTTAATAGTAAAACCAATACAATATGCAAGAAATGTGCTCAGAATGTGCAGTTGTATGGAACGGTAAGTAGGATTTCTCTGATCCTAACAGTGAGTACTTAGGTCTCTTGGAACTTTGCCTTTTGTGGACTATTAGAACATTTTTATTAGAAGTAGTTATGTTAATATATTTAGTGTTTCAGTTTTCAAACTTACTTAATACTTATTATGGAGTTTCTGTATTTATAGTCACTACCAGGATTGTAATTTTCCTTGAGTGACTTTGGCGACCAGTATAGAAAAATGAGGAGAAAAACGAATCCTATGACTTGACCTCTTTGTTTTGGTAACAGCTCATGATTCATTTTGGTGAATTTTTTTCTCAGTGTTGGGGTTTAGGCTACTGTGTCTTTGCAGGTATTCTCTTAACACATTTATACACTGATAATGGCAGAGAGGCCTTTCCAGAAATTTGGAAGCGCTTGCTCATTTCTCCAAAGAGCTGGTTCTGTTGAAGTTCTTGTAGAAGTTTCATCATACACTCTAAGGGCTTTTTGTTATTTGTTCATTCATTTATTTAAAAATCAATAGTCCTTTTCAGAAAGACACATTTTTTTTTTATAGTGCTAAGCATTGAGCTTCATTTGATCAATAGAGAAGCAAATTTATGATATTGGGGATACGTTTTTACTATAATTCATGGAATACATAGTAGGAATTACTGCTTTAAAAGTGTACCAGTATTTTATGATATACTTACTTGGCCTTTTTTTCCTCCCCTTTAAGCCCAAACCTTGTCAGTATTGCAACATAATTGCAGCATTTATTGGCAATAAATGCCAGCGCTGCACAAATTCAGAGAAGAAGTATGGACCACCATATTCCTGTGAACAGTGCAAGCAGCAGTGTGCGTTTGACAGGAAAGATGACAGGAAGAAGGTAAATCTCTGTGTTTTTCCTTTTTTGTTTTGTTTTTTGGCAGTACTGGGGTTTGAACTCGGCCTCACGCTTGCTTGGCAGACACTCTACCACTTGAGCCACTCCTCCAGCCCTTCTGTATTATTTTTCTTGTTTGCTTGGTTTTTCCCAGGGAAATTAAGGTGGGCCAATTTAAATAGATGTATAACAAAAAGAATTCTGAGTTTATTTCCTGATTCTGCTGTTAACTTTGAAGAATATTAGGTTTTGTTTTCTTCACTTATTAAATGTGAACTATTATAAATTTAACATTTCATAAGAATCCAAATTATAGTGATCAATATCCCACATAAGTGAAGTGGTAATTGGCAAAAATCTATATAATTTGTGAAGGAGAGATTGTGATGTAAGCAGAATGGAGTGGTATCACCAGTATTATTGTGGCTCTTTAAATGGTATTATTGTTGAAGTTAATGATCACAAGAAGGTGACGTTAAGTAGAAGCTAAATGTATAATGATAGTGCCTTGGTGGAATTAAAATGGGTTATAGTTCGGTCATGTGACCCTCCTCTTGCTTAAAACCCTCCAGTGGTCTCTAATTATACTTAGAGTAAAACCCAGACTTCTGGGCTGCAGATGTAGCTCAGTGGTAGAGCACTTGCCTAGCATATTCAAGGCCCTTGGTTCCATCCCCAGCAATGCAAGAAAACAAAATAAAAACCTCCAACTGCCTCCCATGCCTGCAAAGCCCATGTCTAGCACTCGGTCTCATCTGCTGTCATACTTTCTGCCTCTCTCCTTGTTCCATCCATACTGACCTCTTTCAGTCCTCAGGTGTGCCATCTCATTCCTTCTATCCTCGCACTGCACTGCCTTTCTTTTGCCTGATGTGATATTCCCCATTGTGTTATAACTGGCTCCTCATATAGGTCTTAACTCAGATGCCATCTCTTCACACAGACTTTCTTTTACTGACTCCCTCAGTTTTAATTTTTATCATGTCACTCTGTTTTATTGTCTTCATAACATGTAATATTAAGAAAAAAACCGTATTGTGCATTATGTGTTTGTCCCTCGTCATTAGAATGTGAACTCTTTGTCTATCTTGCTTTCTGCTGTATTTCCAGGGGCCTTGCGCATAGTATGTGCTTGAGAAATAGTGCATAGAGAACGTAGGAGTACCAAAACTTTTTCAGTGACCAGAGGTGCTTAGACTCTTAGGGCTGCCTCTTGCTAAATAAATTTGTTAACTTTCCAGTGACCAGAGGACTTCTCTCTGCCAACCAGGAAATTTTCCCTGAATCAAGAAACTGCAGAAGCTGAATTAGTGATTAGGAGGTAGATTATAAGAACATGTTACCCAGGTCTAGGGGATAGCTCAAGCTTTATAGTCCTCCAGACTTGAGTCTCATCCCACTCCTGGGGCTAGCTGAGTGATCTTGGACAAGTTTTTTTTCATCATGCATCAATTTCTTTATCTTTCCCAGTGGGAATAACAGTAGCTACTTCGCAGAGACATGGGGAGATTTAATAAGATAGTTATATAAAATACTTCATTTTGAGCCTGCACGTGATATAACTCATTAAATGATGCTTGTGTTAATTAGAATAGCTAATTTTTATTAATCTGGTTATACTAGAATTCATTGAATTTCTGCTTTATTAGTTAATTCATGCTCATAAACTTGAAGAAAAAAGCACTAGACATAAAGTAAGAGCAGGCAATCTGGATCCAAAATGCTTGAGTTGAAATCTTGGTTCTGTGTGACTTTGGGCCAGTTAATCTATCAGTGCTTCAATTTCCTCAGGGATGATTAGCCCTCAGCTTTATAAGAAAGGTTGAGTTATTATGTGTAAATTCCTTAGAAAAGTAGGGAATCAGTGTGATACTTTGCTTTTTTTTTTTTGTGGTACTGGGGCTTGAACTCAGGGTCTACACCTTGAACCACTCCACCAGCCACCCCCCCTTTTTTTTTTTTTTTTTTGTGATGGGTATTTTCAAGATAGTTATTTGCCCTGGCTGGCTTCCAACTGTGATCTTCCTGATCTCTGCCTTCTCCTGAGTAGCTAGGATTACAGGCACAGGCCTGTTTTTAATAGTTTAATTCTCAGAGGATTATCTTTTATTTAAAAAATGTTTTTTTTGTTGGGGTACTGGGGATTGAACTCACTACCTAAAGTATACCTAGCACTTAAACCACACCCCTGGTTCTTTAAGTTTATTTTTAAAGGAGAGATCTGTCCTGTGGTCCTCTGTGCAATTTCACTTACAATACTTGCTTTCTTTCAGTGGAACTGCCTTGTTTTCAGACCCTCTTTTAGTGATTTACCTTGTTTGCAGGGCAAGGTTTGCTGTGGTGTTTTAAAATGAGGCCTTATCCTATAACCATGACATGAACCAGATTGAAGTTTGGTTTTAAAGTTCATTTGTATATTCATTAACAAATAAAACCTATCATGTACTATACTTTGTTCTAGGTGCTGAGAATAACATTAATGAACAAGAGGAGCAAGACCTTATTCCCACAGAGCTTATGTCATGTGTATGAAAAAGAGATGGGCGAGGACAAAGAAGGAAACAAGCAAACACAAATTTTAGATGGAGATGCTATAAAGAAACAGAGTATATTGTAAAGAGTGAACAGGGAAGCCAGCTTGAGTTGAAACTAGAATGATGAGACGGTTGCACCCATGGGATGCTCAGGAGGCCAAAGCATTACAAAGATCTTAAAGCAGGAGTGAGTTTGGCACATGGGAAGAACAGAAAGAAGGCAGAGTAAACAAGGGGAAGAGAAAGGAAATGAGGTTATAGAAGCAGGTAGGGGCTCCATTTAAGTCACATAGGCCATAGTAAAGAGTTTGGGTTTTAACTAGATACAAGAAAACCTTGGGTTTTAAGGAGAGAAGATACAACCAGATTTACCTGTTTTCTTTTGGCTGCACTGGGATTTGAACACAGTCTCACATTTGCTAGGCAGGTGATCTATGGTTTGAGCCACTCTGCCATTCTTTTTGGTGTTGGAAATTTTTGTCAGAACTATTTGTCTGAGGCTAGCTTTGAATCATAATTCTCCTGATCTCTGTCTCCTGAATAGCTAGGATTACAAGTGTGAGCCACTAGCATCTGGCCAGATTTACATTTAAGAAGCCTTCTTTGAGGGCTGGAGGTGTGGCTCAAGTGGTAGAGTGCCTGCCTTGCAAGTACGAAGCTGTGAGTTCAAACCCCAGTTCCACCAAAAAAAGAAAAGAAAAAAAAAAAGCCTTCTTTGGTAGGAGTGGAAGTAGGATGATCATTTTCATTTGGGAAGCTCTTGTAGTAGGAGGTGAGAATGGCTTTACTAGGACAGAAGTAGTGTAGTTAGAAGAGGATAGGGAAGCAAAGAGGCTTTTGTTGACAAAATAAAAAACACTTTAGAGATCATGCATGGTGGTGCATGCCTGTAATCCCAGCTACTCAGGAGGTGGTAATAGGAGGATCATAGATTGAGGTCATCCCAGGCAAAAGTTAGCAAGACCATATTTCAAAAACCAAGCAGGGCATGTTGGCATATCCTTGTAATTCCAGCTGTTCGGGAGGTAGAGGTAGAAGGATCCTGGTCTGAGGCAAAGGCACAAGACCCTCTTTGAAAAACGAACTAATGCAAAAAGGGATGTGGGTGTAGCTTAAGTGGTAGAGCACCTGCCTACCAAGATCAAGGTTCTGAGTTGAATCCCCAGTTCCTCCAGAAAAAAACCAAAAGCAAACAAACGAATAGAATTTCTATTTACTTAATTTATTTTGCGATTCTGAAAAAGCCCATTTTAAATAATGATGTAACCTGCCTATGTTCAAGATGGTGCAAAAGGACTTGGGGTGTGGCTCAAGTAGTAGAGCCCTTGCCTAGCATGCTTGAGACTTGAGTTTGACCCCTAGTACTAAGTAAAAGCATAAAAATAAGGAAAGATGGAGCACAAGATCTAATTTCAGGAATAGGATATGCAGACTAGAACATTCCATAAAATATTAGCACACTCTCTTCCAAACCTGAGTAATTCAGCCAGCCCCAGACTTCCTACAAGTGGTTTCGCAGACCAGATGCTGCACAAAAACAGCCTAGCCTCAGCGGGTTGTGGAAGCCACACTCTTCTTTGTTAGCCTTGTACCCTACTCCCTGGGACACAACTGCTTTTGTTTAAAGGAAGCAACTATCTAATTCAAACTGTGTCCAGGTAGGCCGCCACCAGGAACTGGGGCCTTGAAGCTATTTGCCCATTCATTGGTCTTCCTCTAGGGACATTCTTTCCATCTGTGAGAAGGTATTTAAGCATATCATTTTGTGAGACATTTATAAGGTATTAAAACTGAAGTATGGGAGGATTTGTGGGATGTCAGTCAAACAATACAAGACTTCAGTTAGGAAGAATAAGTTCAAATTCAAGAGATCTATTGTATAATGTGGTGAATGTAGTTAACAACAATGTATTGCATTATGTTTTTTGTTTGTTTGAGACAGGGTATCTCTATGTTGCCCAGGCTGGCCTTGAACTCTCAATCCTCCTGCCTCAGCCACCCTAGTATACCACCACGCCCAGCCCATTGTATTGTATTCTTACTAATTGCTGAGAGAATAGATTTTAGCATGATTTAGCCATTCCATAATATATATAAATTTCAAAATGACACGTCATGCATGATAAGTCTACACAATTTTTACATGTCAATTAAGAAAGTGATATATAGGCTTTATATTTTATCTTCTGTCTTCTCTTGTTCCTGCTGAGTTTTCCTGAATGAGCACCATGGAGATATTTGTATCTTTTGAAACTCTTGTGGGAATTTTGCTCTGGTCTGATTGCTGAGTTGAAGAAAAAACAAAGAGATAAATAAATTAGAGGCTATATTTATTAAACAGCATTTAGGTGCCTGGCACTATGCAGGTGCTTTATGTACGTTGTTTCATTAATCATTGCAGCAGTCCTCTGTGACTTACCCAAGGTCATACAGCTTGCAAGTGACAGATCTGGAACTTGGGTTCTAGCTCCCAGTGCCTGTGTTCTTGGCCACTGCACTACATTTCCTTTTCTTTATCTTCTCATCTTCCAGGTAGATGGGAAATTGTTGTGCTGGCTGTGCACACTGTCATACAAACGTGTCCTTCAAAAGACTAAAGAGCAGAGGAAACACCTGAGCAGTTCTTCTCGTGCCAGCCATCAGGAGAAGGAGCAGTACAGCCGCCTGAGTAGTGGCAGTCATTACAACAGGTAACCCCCAGGTGCATGAGGCAGGACTCAAGGTGCTGGTAGATGAGACATGATGCTTACACAGGCAAACATGGAAGATGCCATCTTAGAAGTCTTCCTATTCACTCTCTTAATTAGTAGTCTGTAGGGAGTGTCTTGTTTGACATATATTATAATTCCTGTGTCTTCCAAGGGCCAGCGAGATTTTTGTAGTATTGGGGTTTCCTGGCATTGTATTATGTCTTAAAGTTATCTGGAACCTATTGTACTTTACATGTAGTGAGTGTTCTTTTCACCCTTAGTAGGAGTTTTTCTTATGTAAAATGCAGAAAATAATAGTATTACCTCATGGGGTTGTTGTGAAGATAAATTATATAGTACCTGCAAAGTAATTAGTTTTACAACTAGAATTTAGGAAGTATTCAATACATTTCAGTTATTTTTTGGTATTATTGTCATTATGACTTTGTTTATTCAATAGACATTCTTAAGTACTCTCATGGGCTAGGGCCTCTGCTGGGAATAAAGAGATGAGCAAGAGTCATTTGCTCTCTGAGAGTTTGTAGTCCAGTAGAGAAGACAGACTTGTAATGAGATCACTGCAGTCTAATATGATGGGCACCACAGTGGAAACATGTCAAGGTACAGGCATGAGAGGCAGTAGTAATTACCTAGGAAGTCACGTAAGGCAGGCTTGGAGAAGAGCTGCTGTGTAACTATATCTCAGGATGAGTTGGAATCATCAGCTTTCCTTAGGCAGAGACATCCTAGCCTGAGGGAGCAGCATTTGCAAAGGACTGGTGGGCATGAGACCAAACAGAACCAGTTCTTTTACACTGTTGGGAAATGGGAGAAAAAAGGGTTCAGACCTGGTATGGAAGGTGAACTTAATCCTGGGGTTAGTTGGAAGCTATCTAAGGGATCTATGCAAGGGAAGGAACAAATCTGTATCAAAAATAATTGATCCTGAGTAGTGAAGAGTGCACTGGAAGAAAAAGGATCTAGGGGCTAATTAAGAAGCTTTTGTATTGGGGCTTGTACTAGGGGATGTAGCTCAAGTGGTAGAGTATTTGCCTAGCATTTGTGAGGTCCTGGGTTAGGTCCCTAGTGCCTGTAAATTAAATAAATAAATAGCTTTTGTCCCTCTTTCCATCATAGAAGAAAATAAAGGATAGAAAAAGAGACAAAGCTTTTTTTTGTAAGAATCTAGGTAAGCGATGTTATAACAAGAACTTCACCTGAGGCAATAGGAGTAAGGATTTAGGAAGGTACTTTGGAGGGAGATTTATGAGAAACTTAGATAATTTGATAAACAGATAAAATGAACAAGATCTGAGTAAAGAATAATTCTAGGTTTTTTATTTGGTGAACAGGTAGATCCTTAACTAAAGAGAATACAGGAAGGGGAGAAGAGAAGTTCAGTCTTGAAAAGCTGAGTTTGAAGTACCAAGAATTATTTATAGGAGCTAAGTCTAGAACTCAGAGATTTGGATATGGGCCACTGATAGCACATTAAAAGTCACAGGGAGCTGGGTTCCCGTAGCTTATGTTTGTAATCCTAGCTACTCAGGAGGCTGAGATCAGTAGGATCATGGTTCAAGGCCAGCCCTGGCAAATAGTTCTTATACCCTATCTCAAAAATACCCACCCAGATGATTCTAATGAGATGATCTCAGGCAAGCCCCATTTTCAACCCCTGTGATAGGTAGTTTTTAAAATTATGCCCTTGGACAATACAATTCAGCATAGAGGCTGAGAACAGAATTCTAGAAGCATTCAATATTTAAAGGATGGACAGAAAACCAAGAAGCGGCCTTCACGAAAATAGGAAGACCAAGTAAGCAGAAAATTTCTCGAAGGATGAAGCAGTCTGTAGAACTGTATTTGTATAGTGAAGAGAGGTCAAGTAAGGAAAGGTCTAGAGAACTCTTTGGGCATGGCAATCTGACAGACGATGATAGATGTCCAATCTGTTCCTCATATTATCTAGACATATACTAGAAGCAGGCTTTTGTTTCAATACCAGTTCGGGGTGACCTTATTGAGGCCAAAACTCACCATATTATGGGACTCAGATACCAGTAGGTTCACAGTGAGGAAGACCAGGAGTTCAAATATATCAACCTGGTTTCTAGTCACAGCTTTACTACTACATAGATGTATATCAGTTAATTTTGAGGGGCTCAGTTTCTGCAAGGTAGAAATAATATAACTCGTCTGTACCTCCTGGAACCCTAAGATGAAGGTGCATGTGAGACTGTGAATGTAAAGGCTTTTTGTTGTTATCGTACTGGGGTTTGAACTCAGGGCCCTCACCTTGAGCCACTCCACCAGCCCTTTTTTGTGAAGGTTTTTTTCTGAGATAGGGTCTCACGAACTATTTGCCTGGACTAGCTTCAAACTGCGATCCTCAGGGCATGAACCACCAGTGCCCTGAAAAAGGTATTTTTTAACTGTAAGATTATATTTCTTACTAAAGTTTTGTCAGGTTTCTTGTGGTTATTAATAAAGCAGGTGATAGCTAATTAAAACCAAGAATGGTTTTTGGTCCTATGAATACTATCTACCCAACATCCAGTAGGGTTTTTTTTTTTTTGGTATTGGTGTTGGAACTCAGGAGGGGCTGATGTTTACTAGGCAGGCACTCTACCACTTGAGGCACTCCACCAGCCCCTTGGTAGATTTTAATAATCAAAAATAATAAGCTTTGAGAGGTGGAGGGTAAAAGAAGGAAGTAAAGAAGGTGAATATGGATGATGTACTTTATATACAAGAATGAATATAGAATTTTTATGAAATTACCATAAGAAGAGAAAAATGGAGGGGATGAACCAATTTGGGATACAATATATATATACATGGAAATGTCGTAATGAAACTCTCTGTGTAGATTTGAAAAATTCTTTTTTTCAAAAACAGAACAGAAAGGTAAAATAGGTCCTATCTGGGGGGCTGGTACCAGTGGGAGGGGGAGGATATAAGGAAAGGAAGGGGGTAGGAGGGCGAATATGGAAATATTATGTACTCATGTATGAAGATGGAAAAATGAGATCTGTTGAAACTGTTCTAAGAATGGGAAGAGGGAAGACAAAGGAGAATAATGAAGGGGATGAATTTAAGAAATACCATAAGCACTTTTGTAAGTGTCACAGTGTGCCCCAGTAGAACAATAATATGGTGACTAAAAAAAAAGAAAAGAATCAAGCTTTTAAACACAGAAGAGCTACTATTTTTACATTGGCCCATTGGACAGACTTTCATTGAGCCGTTTTATTAATCTTTGATTTCTAATTGTGTCTTTTTATTTTTGCCGTTAAAAGCCAGAAAACACTTTCTACATCTTCAATTCAAAATGAAATCCCAAAGAAAAAATCCAAGTTTGAATCAATCACAACTAATGGAGACAGGTGAGCCAGTTGGAGTATGTGTGCTCACTCATTTGAAATGCATACAGTTCTTGAAGCGAATATGTTTTAGGTTGTACCTAGGAGCTAGTCTGTGACTGTCAGTGAACCTTTTAGTGGTGCTATGCTAGCCACCTGATAGGTTATATATAAGCAGTACTGATATATTTATCAATTAAATTTTGTCATTAAATATAAGAACTTGTAACTATTTAATAATAGTTGAATTCTGCAGTCTGCTAAATAACTGCCCCACCCTGATTCTAAGATATCAAGTTCTGAATGCTTCACTGTGATTCATGCCTATAGCTTCCTCCAGGCAGGATAAGAGTTGGTTTGGAGAGGCAGAGCAGAGACAAGGTGAGGTTAAGGCACCATTACTTTTGGTGGAGGGTATTCCAGCTTCTTTAGTATTCAGAAAGCCATCCCATAAACTAAAAAAAAGAAAAGAAAAGAAAAAAACAAGAAGAAAAAGAAAGCCATCTCAGTGCAGATGCTGGATCAGGAAAGAATGAGATGCATTTAAATATTTCTGTTTCATTTTCAGTTTGTCTAAATGCATATTTTTATTCCTTGCTTTCCTCTCTCCTTCTCAGCGATGCTTCCTCTTATGAACTACTTTGTCCTAATATCCAGAGTGCCCCGTCCGTGTTTGTGCAGTGGGCTGCCTCCCAACAGAGTCTTGGGGCCAACCATTTTCCTGTTCCTCCAGGCCCAGGCATCCTGAAGTGAGAGCACCTGAAACACTCATCCCTAAAATCCTTGGAATCATCTCCATTCTGAAAACTTGCATTCATAGTCCTCGCTCCCAGCCAGTGGTGGATATGGGAGCAGACCAGGGCTAAATTTTTTTTTTTTTTCTTCACAGAATACAAAACATCTGTGAAGTTTATGCTTTCCCATTGCCTTTTTTATTACCCTGATTTCAGACCCTACCAAGGTAGTGTCTTTTTGCAACTAGTTGAATTGATCTTAAATTCTCAAATTGAACCTTCTGAAAATACTTAACTTAGATTTTCAGATTCTATCGGGGAAGGAACCACAAAGACCATCTCTCTGGTCAACTTCCGTTTTCTCTGAGCAGCTAGTGTGGCTATTCTGAAGAAAATAGATGTGGCACAGATTGTCCATCACCTCTGAAATGGTCAAATACCATTTGTGAATGTCCTATGAAGCAGGGCATTCAAGCCAAGAACTATGCTTCAAGATTCATTTCTGTTTGTGCTCATTTATGACCCATGCTGTGTTTGAATGATCTGGAAAAAACTCATCCACACCCTTTATTTTAACTAACCAATCCTTTAGGCTTACCTTCTATTAGCTTATTTTGTCTTGAGGTATTGTCACTATTTTGCTGTCCTTGGTATGGCTACACCAAGCTAAAACTCAGGCTGTCTCTTCTGATTGCTGGATTGCATCTGACCACCATCAATTTCTGTTTTCCTCAGTATGTGGTCTCTTATGATGTCCTCCAGAAAAATAAGAGATCGCTTTCCCCCTAAAATAACATACTAATTCTTTTTCCCCATGTGGTACTGGGGCTTGAACTCAGGCCTGCACCTTAAGCCACTCCGCCAGCCTTTTTTTGCGAAGGGTTTTTTTTTTTTCTGAGAGGGTTTTGAAGAACTGTTTGCTCAGGGTGTCTTCAAACTGTGATCCTCCTGATCTGTGCCTCCTGAGTAGCTAGGATTACAGACATGAGCCAACAGCACCTGACCATACTAATTTTTAAATGTAATTGCTCCAGTTTTTTTAATTTTTTTTTATTTTTTGGGTGGTCCTAGGGTTTGAATTCAGGACCTCATGCTTTCTAGGCAAGCTCTCTACCACTTGAGCCACTCACTGTCAGTTTTTTTATTTTTATTTTTTTTTTATACAGGGGCTTGCTATCTAGCTCAGGTTGGTCTTGAACTGAAGATCCTCTTGCCTCTACCTCCTGAGTGCTGGGATTTTAGGTGTGTATCACCACTCCCGGATTAGTTTTGAACTCAGAGCTGCTAAACAAGTGCTTTAACACTTGAGCCATGGTCCCAGTGTCCCCCAAATTATTTTTTTTGCCATGAGGTGTGTTTTATTTTCATTAATTATACACATAATTTTTTATAACATCCTGTGGCAAACTGGAGGATGAGGGAAAGGGGTTCCCCTCAGAGACCCACAGGCCAGTGGCACTGGCACAGAGTGCCCTGGTTCACGGAGCAGCTTGTGGTTCATGTGCATTTTGCAGGTGGCTCTTCCTCCACATCACCAGGGGTCTCCGAGGTGATAGGACAAGGTATCCTCTAGGCTCTTAGGCAATTTCACTCCTCTTTTTCTGCTCCATGGACTCTTTGGTCAGCAGGGTGTTCTCCTACATCTCCATTTTCTTCAACTTGGCCTTATGGAAGCTGGCAATTTCCCCCATGTTTGGCTTGTCTGCCATTTTCTTAAAACGATTTGCACGTCTCTCTCTGAGCCCGAGCCCCTGGTGCTTCTACTCGTGTTGCTACAGCAAGAGACCTAAATTACTCTTAGAATTTGAAAACTTGGAAAATTTTTTCTGCTACCACAATAATATTCATACATATACAAGTTCCATTTGATGTTTCTGCAGTAGTACTCCTAGCACTTTCTTTTATTTGCATTTCCTGTTGAAATATTCATAGCACAAGATAAATTACATTTTGGTATCCTTTGTATTTTTTGTGGGTTTTTCCAGCTTTTAATTCACTTTGGAAAAAGCATTCTGACAATCCTTTGATTTTTTTTTTTTTTTTTGTGGTTCTGGGGTTTGAACTCGGCCTCACGCTTGCAAGGCAAGTGGTCTATGACTTGAGCCATTCTACCAGCCCTTTTTTCTGTTAGGTATTTTGGAGACAGGGTCTCTGGAACTATTTGCCCCGGACAGGCTTCTAACTGAGATCCTCCTGATCTCTGCCTGCCAGTAGCTAATATTACAGATGTGAGCCACAAATACCTGGCCTGACAATCCTTTTTTTAATGGCATGCAAACCAAAAAAATATTCTTACTGCATACCTGTATGCTAAGTTATTAGTCTTATTGTCTCATTTCTGAAATATCTTTTTAGCTGCCTCACAGTTTTTAACTAGTCACAATTCACTTTTAAAACATGCATATACTTTTGGGTTGTAGCTCAGTGATAGAGTGCTTGCCTATCATGTGCAAGGTCCTGGGTTTGATCCCCAAAGCTGAAAAAAGTATATACTTAAATTTATGCTCTTACTCTTTAAATTTTATTCCTCATGTGTTCTGTAAGTTTCTTCCTAACAGTTTTTCATTGATCTTTCCATACTTCGACATTCTCCTCTTTAACTTTATATTGAGCCATTTTTGATTATTTCTTCCTCTTATTTTGTATCCATTAGCCTTCCATATTGTAGACAGAACACATTACCTTAGCTTTCTCTAATGGTTTGATACTTAGAAGATGACTTAGTTTTTTTTTTTTTAGTATCCTATAAAATCTATAGCCTCCCTCTTGATATTTTCTAAGTTGTTGAAATTGTAACAAAAAATTTCAATTTGAAAAAATCTGAGTTAAAAGTCTAATTTTCCTTCCTTGAGAAAATTACCAGCTACTTTTTAATGTTATCTGTTTATTGTTCCACAGGCAATATAAAAATCTCAACATTGGGTGGCGCCCAGGCATGCCTTGTGGTTTATTGTTTTCTAAAAGACCTACTTTTCCTTGCAGTTTTATTTTATTCTCCCTCTAAACTACTCTTGAAAGATTGAGCCTTTGAGGAAAAATTCAGGAGCAATGATAGAATTATAGGGAGGCAGAACTGGAAGCATGGCTCAAGTGGTAAAGATTGTCTGCCTAGCAAGCACAAATCCCTAGGCTCAAACCCCGGTACCACCAAAAAAAAAAAAAAAAATCTTATGATAGGGAGGCAATTTTGGCTCAACTTAAGCAAAATTGGTTTTTGATTAGTTTTTGTTTTGTTGGAGCTAAAGGTCTCACTGTGTAGCCCAGGCCAGCCTTGAACTTGATCTTCCTGCCTCAACCTTCTGAGTACAGAAGATTTTTCTTTTCAATTCTTTTTTGTTTTTTTGATGGTACTGATATTTGAACTCAGGACCTCACACTTGCAAGGTAGGTACTCTACCACTTGAGCCACAACCCCGGCAAGATTGTTCTTATAGTAACAGTTTTTAGAGAAGGCAGGAAGTATCCTGGAGAAGTAGTGAGTTCCCTGTCATTAGAGGTATTTGGAAATAGACTAGTTTTTCTGCCTTGCTAACCTAGCCATCTCTTATTTCCAGCAGTTCTTACTGAACTAGTAGTTAGAATCAGAGAGATTAGGCCCTAACATAGGATAGACAGGACTAGTTTTGTCAACAATTAATTGGTATAAGAGGAATCTTCTCTCAAGAAGCAGGTAGAGCCAGACACTGGTAGCTCATGCCTGTAATCCTAGCTACTCAGAGGCAGAGATCAGGAGGATTGCAGTTCAAAGCCAGCCCCAGGCAAATAGTTCATGAGACCCTATTTCAAAAAAGCCCATCACAAAAAAGGACTAGTGGAGTGGCTCAGGTGGTCAGAGTGCTTTCCCAGTAAGTGCAAAGCCCTGAGTTCAAACCCCAGTGCTGCCATAAAATCAAAAAAAAAAAAGAAGAAGCAGATAGAGCAGAGCAGCGTTAGGAACCTTGGGGACAATGAAAAGTTACTTACATTAACTAGCTCACCACTCTTTCATTCACTGTAATAGTGATGGGTTTAAATAGACCACAGGTTGAGGGAAGGAAGGTCCTCAGCAGGTACTGGAACAGATGTAAGATTGCACATAAAGGTTGCTTCCAGATCTGGTAGAGATTAATAGGCCCTTTCAGTACTTTCTCTTGTGTGCCTTGTTTTAAGTCTACTTTTATTTTATTATTATTTTTTTATTTTTTGGTTGTCTGGGTTTGAACTTGGCTTTGGACTTGCAAAGCAGGCTCTCTCTCACTTGAGCCACACCTCCAAGTCCATTTTGCTCTGGTTATTTTTTGGAAATCCAAAAAATAGTGAACTATTTGCCTGGGCTGGCCTTGAACTGTGATTCTCCTGATTTAGCCACCTAGTAGCTAGAATTACAGGTGTGAGCCACTGGTGCCAGGCTTACATGTATTTTTTTGTTACCCAGTAATTCTTCACATTTATCAGTTGTGAAGAAAGCATCAATTCATCCTTCTGACATTCTTCTCATGTGCTTAACATAGACTGGGTATGGGGGCAATTTTCTTACCAATACTGTGTTTTTCAGTTCTAACCATTTGACTTGGGGGCTGGGAGCATGGCTCATGTGGTAGAGCACCTGCCTAGCAAGTGCAAGGCCCTGAGTTCAAACCCTAGTACCACCAAAATGATAAAAAAGAAAAAAAGAAATGTTTGACTTGGTAACTATGAGGGAGTGTGTCTAATGGTCAGGCTTGCTATTTGGAGTTTCTTCCTGCAGAGAGAAATGCTGGTTATTAGATGTGCCTTAAGATATAGGAAAAAAACAATCATAAATGGAAACTACCAGTTGTTGCTCTATTGATGTAGGAGTTGAGAATCAGTATTCCAGTGTCTGCTTTTGGAAAAACAGGTTTGTGTTTTACTTAAAAGATAGTCCTGAGAAAAATGAAGATTTTCTTTTAGTAATTATCTAGAGAAGATCAGAATATGACCCTCTTGGCAGTGATCCTTTAACTTGTTTTGGGTCTGAGGCACTTCTGACCAGCCATTGAAAACTGGTCTTTCCCCCAGAAAACTGCTTGGTGTATGGGGAGATAGATTGTACATATAATTTCAGGGTTTTACAGATTCCCTGAACGGGTCTTGGCTATGAGAGACTGCTAAAAGAACATAAGAGTCCACCTAACACTTTGACAAAATGCAGTGTCAAGCGCTGTGCCTGGGAAAAATCTGTTGAAAACCCTGGTTATAGTGTGACTCTAAAGTTTGCCACTTCTTTGTTCTCTTTCTAACTAAATGTCACATAATTATTTTTTTATTTTTTTTTTTTGAGACAGGATCTTGCTATGTAACCCAGGCTGGCCTTGAATTCATGATCCTCCTGCCTCCACCTTCTGAATGCTGGGATTACAGGTGTGTGCTGCCATGCCTAGGTGACATAATTCTTGGTAGTAGGCATGACAGTAGTCAGACCAATTGCAGCATAGTGGAATTTGGTTTCCTTCCTATAAATCTCAATCTTTTTAGAGAAAGGACTGATCCTGGGATGAAATAAAGCAGCTGCTTAGCTGCATCTCATCATGACTTTGAGGGCTCTCACAAGCATGAGCTTATAATTGATAAACTATCCATAATTCTAGGAAGTTATCTAATAACAAACAGGACTATTTTAGCCATAAAGCATTGTGGATCTTTAGTGAGCCAAGCAGTATCCTTGGCTCTTGGAATATGGCATTTATTTTAGTCCTGCATTTGAGAGAAGATGCAAGATGCTCCGACGTTGTGGTTTTTGAGAACTGGTATTTTCTGATGACCACCTTACCTGTGTAGTTGAAGTTCAGCAAATACTGTTGAGCCTGGTATGTATGGATCATATGTGCTTGATGTTGGAATTCAAATGGTTTACTTCTGCCCTTGAGGAGTTTATAGTCAAGTGGCCTTGGGTACATTGCCAGGTAGAGAAAGGTTTATCTCATCCAAGTTACAATTATTTTCTCCTTCATTTTTCTACTCAGCTTTTCCCCAGACCTGGCTCTGGACTCACCAGGCACTGATCACTTTGTCATCATTGCCCAGCTGAAGGAAGAGGTGGCTACTTTGAAGAAGATGTTGCATCAGAAAGATCAAATGATCTTAGAGAAAGAGAAAAAGGTATGATTTAGTTAATGCCTTTTAAACCAGAATGAGAGAAGGTTAAGGTATGTGGTATGGGACATGATGATAACTTTATTAGACTAATATTTGTTGGGCACATTGGTGCTTTGAGAGAGATTCTGTGGCCAGATTAGGATATCCTGGGGGGAGGGTAGCTGTTTGCCAAGATGACTCATGGGATAGAATTACCTTGGTCAAGCCATTTCAGCCAAGTGGGTTCGGAAAGCTGCTTTTTCTCAGCATTTGGAGGAAGCTTCCACATCTGAAAGATCTTTGTTAATCAAACTAACAGAGACATTGTATAAAACCACAGTGTCCCTGTCTTACTTCATATATGACATACAGCAACGTATTGCTATTGTCATCATGAGCATCCTTGAGAGGCTCCAATCACAAGTTGCTGAATGAATGCCATGTATGGTGGCACAAGCCTGTGCTTGTAATCCAGCACTTGGGAGGCTGAGATGGGGATGGTAAGCTCAAGACCAGCTATCTCCAAAGAAAAAAGGTATCGATACCCTGTCTCCAAAAGAAAGGTGCTGAAATGAGCATGGAGTTGGGGTAGAAGATGGTAGTTGTATAACTGAAAAGTTTAATCCTCTCAGGCTAAAAGAACCTGATGTATCCATCTCTGTTTGGAGATGCTTTGTCCATGGGACGGCAATACTCACAGGATGTAGCCATGTCTCCTTCCTCCCTGGGGTGTTCAGGTGGGCCCTACTCCATGACTCTTAATGTCACTATGTTTCGTTGCTGACAGTGACCCTTTATAAACATGGGAATGCCTTAATATTGTCAGTGTTAATACTGTACATTTTCATTAAATTATTTTCTAGCTTATATTTCTGGTATCTTTATGTATCTTCAGAATGAAACCAGCCTTCTTTCTTTTCCTTGCGGAACTGGGGTTTGAACTCAGAGACTACACCTCGAGCCACTCCACCAGCCTTTTTTTGTGGTGGGTTATTTTGAGATAGGGTCTTGCAGACTATTAGCCCCAGCTGGCTTTGAACCTCGATCCTCCTGATCTCTGCCTCCTGAGTATCTAGGATTACAGGTGTGAACCACTGGTGCCTGGTGGAGAGACCAGTCTTTTTGTTGTTGTTGTTGATGGTGCTGGGGCTTGACCTCAGGACCTATACCTTGAGCCATTCCACCAGCCCTTTTTTTGTGAAGAGTTTTTTTGAGTTAGGGAAATATCCCTGGGCTGGCTTTGAACCACGATGCTCCTGATCTCTGCCTCCTGAGTAGCTAGGATTACAGGCGAGAGCCACTGGGGCCCAGCCAAAGGGAACTTTTTTACATCCTTGTTCTAATTTGTGCTTATTGTTACCTTATTTTCAGATTCTTAGAGAATATCTCATTCCTGGCTCTGGTAGCTCACGCCTGTAATTCTAGCTACTCAGGAGGCAGAGATCAGGAGGATCACAGTTTAAAGCTACCCCAGACAAATATTTCCTTGAGACCCTATCTCGAAGAAAAGAGAAAAGAGAATTTCTTATTTTTGCCTTAATAACAGTAATAGCTAACTTTTCTTGGATGCTTCCTTTGGGACTAGATCTATTCTAAGTGCCTTATCTATGTTAACTCATTTGTCTTTAAAATAGCCCTTTGAGGGAAGAATTATCACCACATATCCTAGGTGAAGAACATCTTCATTATTTTTCCTCTTAGGGTTCTAATCCCTCTATCTCTGGTTTTTCCCTGAGACTATTAGTTGTCCTGTGCTAAGTTCAGAATGCCATAATTAATTTTAAATGGCTTCCCTTCCTTTCCCTGCCCTTCCTTCTCCTCTCCTTCCCTCATATCTGAGATGGGGCTCTCTTTGTGTTGCTCAGGCTGGCCTCAAATTGCTGGGCTCAAGCAGTGCTCCTGCTTCAGCCTCCTGAGGCTGAGTGCTGAGAGTACAAGTCTTTGCATGCAGTCTTTTCACTCATTTCTACCTTGTTTTACAGATGAGGAGACAGGCCCAAAGAGATTAAAGTGTTTAAATCACATAGCTAGTAAATGGCAGAACAAGGGAATGAACTTAAATCTTTCTGACCCTATTGTTCTTTCTATTGTGCTAGGCTTCATCCTTCCAGTAAGGTGGAGATTTGTTGGAAGACACCCAATATTCTTTCTGCTTTACTATGTGACTAGCAGGACTGGAGGTGTGGCTTAAGCAGTAGAGCAGCATCTTTCCAAGCATGAAGCTCTGAGTTCAAAACCTAGGCCTACAAAAAATGCTACTATATGACTAGCAGATGAAAATGACCCAAGTATGTTCTCTTCATGGACCAGACCAGAATGGCACATAAAAGGACTTTTGCAAAATATAAACAAAATGAGTACTTGTTCCTATTGATTTGCAGAATTGGGGTTTTGAACAGGGAAAAACCAAATAGCTGTTATAGTCTACAGCTTTTAGGATTAAGTCATAATCCCTGGTTTGGGACATAGTGTCTTCAGAATCATGCCTGACTCTGCAACTCTAGCCTTATCTCCTGTCACTCTCCTCATTGTTGAAGTAATCTGTGATACCTTGCATTTCTCTGCTGTGCCCATTGTTCCCTTTGTTTGGATCCCTTTCTCTTTATTTTACATGCCTGTTGCTGCTGAACCTCAAAACTCAGCTTACATGTCACCTCTCTGGCTTAGATGTCCCTTTCTGTATGCCTGGTTTGGCAGTCATGGTTCAAATGGAAGAGCACCTGCCTAGCAAGCACACAGCCCTGAGTTCAAAACCCCAGTACTAAAAAAAAAAAGTTCAGGATTTTTTGTCATCTTCAGGAAAACTTTAGGAAAAAATAGGATCCTACCTGGCTTTGATGTAGGTTGAGATCTGCAGGAGAGCCCGGATTTCAGTAACTTGGGGACCCTTGAGCTTTCTGATACCAAAACATTCTTCATTGCACAGAAATTTCTTCTGGTCACTGTGCTTTTTTCCCTGCAGATTACAGAGTTGAAGGCTGATTTTCAATACCAGGAATCTCAGATGAGGGCCAAAATGAACCAAATGGAGAAGACCCATAAAGAAGTCACAGAACAATTACAGGTGACTGCGTATGTGGTGACCTGGTGCACTTGGGGCTGGTTGTTTTTAAATAGTCAGCTCTTAGATTTCCTTTTCTCCAAGTGTTGACAAATCACATTAATCCTCCTTTTGGATATCTTACTGTTTTCTCTTGGATGTGTCTGGTCTTTTTCTTTCAAAGACAGTGGAATTAAAATGTTCCTTGATTTTTGAATATTCCAGATATTTTAGGTATCTGAATTATAGATTGTCTTCCCAACTCATTAAAGCACTCCATGGTTTGTTTCTATTGCATTTTTTTTCCTTTTATTTTATTGTTTTTTACATTTACTTACATGTATATACATTGTTTGTCCCACCTCTTCCCCTCCCCCCTTTCTATTGCATTTATAACTCATTATAACAGTGAGTCCCAAGAGATTGAAACATACTGATACTGATTAACATGTAGCACATGTTCTTTACCTGAACCACTGTTGTCAAGCCCTAGAGCTTTCCTTGTTTTTCATCACTAGAATTGTCCCTCTCTTCCTTATCTTCTACTTTGCATGCCTTCACACCTGCATGGAAAACTTATCCTACTATTTATTATTATTGCCCATGGAAAAAATATATCCTATCCTGTTACAACATTCTTCTATCACTGACTTTTTTTTTTTTTTTTTTCTTTTTAGGCCAAAAACCGAGAGCTCCTGAAGCAGGCAGCTGCCTTGTCTAAGAGCAAGAAGTCGGAGAAGTCAGGAGCTATAACCTCTCCATGACAAGACCACAAGAGGCCCCCAGCACCAGCAGATGGAGCTGTCCTGGGTTAGGGTTGGAGACCTGGCTGTTCTCTGGGAATTGCAAGCTTTCTTAAGAAATCTCTATTTTATTACAGTTATCCTTCTTTGTGTGATTGTAGTGGGCTGAATGGAAACATCTTGTTTGTTTTGTGTTTTGACTGCATGCTTGAGCATTTGGGGTTTCAGGCTCTTTCTCTCATACTGCTCCTTTCCTCTCTTCCTTCTCTTCCTCTCCTTCCTACCTCTGTCTGTCCCTCCCTCCCTCCCTCTCTCTCTCTATCTCTCTTTATTTTGATACTATTCTTTTTTTTTTTTTTTTTTTTTTTTTGTGGTGGTCACTGCTCAGTGTCATGTGCAGAATGTTTTCTGTCCATCATTGCATCCTGCCATCCATGAGCAAGTAGTTTGGCATTAATTATATATCACTGCCGCCCTCTGAACTTTGAAAACTGCCACCTTTAAGACTTGGTACAATGAGAGAGGCTTTCTCTCTCCAATAAACCTTTTGCTTCAGGGTATACTCTTGGGTTTTTTTCCAGGTATATTATGTATGAACTTTGTACTATGTATAGCCAGAGTTTTATTTATTTTTTAAAAAAAAGAAACTTTTTCTTGATAAAGGAATAAAGGTAGCTTAGCTAGTTCTTGTAAAAGTGATGCCTCTTAAAAAAAATCCAGTCCTGTTCTCTAGCTTTTAGTAAAAGAATCAAATCTTTTTTTTCTTGTTACCTTAGAGTCTTAAAAACTGATTGCTAAGGTAAAATATTTGACATGTAAGTGTGGAGTTAAGTGCCTTTTGGAGGATTTCTTGGAAGAGCATTTAAGGAGATACTTAAGGAGGTTGCAAAGATTTAAACAGTCTGTCTTTTTAAGTAAGGGCAGAAAGAAAGGTTGTCCAGGTTATACTGGACACTTCCCTTCCCCACTCCTTTCCTTCTTCTTTAATGTGACTTATTTTAAATTTTAACACTGCCATTTCTTTTTTTAAAAATACCCTTTACTTGCTTTTATCAGTTGTTACACCAGGTTACTGTCAGAAAACATTTTTTCATGAGCATATTCAAAATGGGATAATATTTGAATTATAGAGCATTATGAGGTTCAGTATGAACTACTGAAGTATGGACTGTGAGTCTGATTGGGAGAAGTAACACTGTACCTTCTTTCTACTCCTCATTTGTCCCTGCCTAGACGTTCCTTGTTTTTAATGAAAATTTATTGAAAACAAGTGCTTCTCAGAAGCAGTTTAGCCTCAACCAGAGTTGTATGTGCCCTGTCTTCCCTCATTGACCCAATTGGCACTTGGATTTATTTCTTCAGAAATGGGGATAGATTTGCATTTCTAGCCATACTCTCAGGTTCTCTATGTAATGTTTGTGAAAGGAATTAGGGATGTGTGGTATGTGCCATGAAACAACAAAGCCAACTGCCCAGTGCAGTTAGAGGTAATTTATAATCATGAGAGCAGATGACATTTGTACCTCAGTGTCCCAAAATTGTAACAGAAGTGACTTCTTAATAGCAAAGGTTCTGTAATTTGTGATAGTGTTCTCATAGTGGAGCCACGCACATAATCAGAAAGAGATGTGGACATGGGTGGCTTCCTGCAGATAAGAGATACAGTGGACCATGTTGCTTTCATATCACCCTGGTAGGGAATGTAATTTTCCCTTTTAAGCAAGGGAAACCACAGTGCTAAATAGCTTTTGTAATTTTTTGAATGAGAAACTTTTAGGTAAAGATAATAAATGTCAGGGTAATATTTTTCAGATGCATTTATTTGCATTGGCTATAGGGAAAGGATGGTGAAAAAATGACCGTCAATTTTTATTTTTAATTTTAAAGACTGAGCAATTCTGATACATGTAGTATGACGATATAAAAGCATATTCTTAGTTTTATACTAAATCTTTTTTTTAAGGTCTTGGCATTTAATATAAAGCAGACCCACACATTTTCTAACTTTCCATAAGTTCCTAAAAGGGAAAAATGAAACTTCAGTCTTGAAATTTTGATTTTTAAAAATCATGACACCGTTTTACCATGAAATTGAGTAGCTAACTTTTGGTAACACCTTTTGTTTCTTTGTATGTTTGTAATAATGGACATTTTAAAACAAAGGAATGTTTTGGTTTGTACAGACTTTGACAAATGTGTGTTAATAAAACTTCATATTGACTAAAGTATAATTATTGATTTTTCTGTTTCTTATTTGTGGTACAAGGTATCAAACTCGGGGCTTTGCACATGCTAGGCAAGTGTGTATCACTCAGCTGCACCCCCAGTTACACCTGCAGTGTTTATTTCCAGCTGGTTCATCAATTGGCATATCCCATTGTCCCCTTTAACCCTGAAAATAATTTACCTTTTTTTTTTTTGGAGGGACTAGAGTTTGAAGTCAGGGCTTCACGCTTCACCCTCAGTCCATTTTGCTCTCGTTATTTTGGAGATGGGAGTCTCATGAACCATTTGCCTGGGCTAGCCTTGAACTGTGACCTTCCCAATCAGTCCCCCAAGTAGCTCGGATGGCAGGTGTGAGCCACTGGCACCTGGCAAAAGAGTATCTCGCTGGTAGACTTAATAGGGAGTTTCAAAACTGTCAGACATTACAGTCTTCTGGTTATTATTACTGCAGAACAAATTACCCCCAATTTTAGTGGCTTAAAACAATCATTTTTATTTATTTGGCTTTTTTTGGCTGCACTGGGACTTGAACTAGGGCCTCGTGTTTGTTTGGCTTTTCTAGGCAGGCACTCTATCACTTGAGCCACTCCACCATCTCTGTTTTGGATTTTTTTGAGATAGGGTCTCGAGAACTGTTTGCCCAGGCTGGTTTTCAACCGCTGTCCTGATCTCTGCCTCCTGAGTAGCTAGGATTACAGACATGAGCCACAAGTACCCTGCTAAAACAACCATTTTGAAATACCTACAGACTCTGTTGGTAAAGACAGGGTACTATGGGGATGATTTGTGTCTGTTTCACATTATCTGAATTCTCAGCTCGGAAGATCCAAACTAGGACATTTCATGGGGCTGGAATCAGTTTACTTGTACTACATCTAGTGCCTGGGCTGGGTGGAAGTATAGTGCTGACTAGATCACTTGTGTCCTTTCCATATAGTTTATCCTTCCCCAGCATGGTGGCTTCAAGGTAATCAGACTTCTTCCATGGTGCCTTAAGACTTAAGCACAAGCGTTTCAGAGAACAAAGCTGAAACTGCATTAGAAGTCATGTAACCCAACTGCCACCATTCTGTACTGGCCAAAGCAGTCAGAAGCCCTCCCAGACTTGACATACAGATTCTTTCTCTTGATGGCTGGGTGACAAGAGCATGTATATAGTGATGATCACCTTATAAATTATACTCTGCCATACAGGGAGTGGATTTTGCAACTAAACCAGACCTGAGAAAGCAAGGCAAAAGCAATATTTTTCATGTCCTGTTTCCAGACACCGCATTCCATCATTTCTGCAATACCCTATTGGTTACAGAGGTCAAACATTCAACAGTGTTCATTGTGGGAAGAAGGCTACCCACATGTGTTTATTGCAGGAAGCAAGAATCATTGACATCCACCTTGCAGGCGAGGCTGCCACACTGACCTGTGGCCTGTAGGACTGAGTAACCACTGTATGAATCTCTAGCAATTAAAATTACCATTTGGGGGAAAGTAGTTCATATTAGCTATTGCCAGAATCAATGAGTTCTCGGCCTATCACCAGATCTTTCAATCTTGCTTGAAAAAATGAGATCATGTTGTGCGATGAAGTCAGATTTCCTGGACTTGAGTCTTGTGTCTATTAATCTTAGGATTGCTGTGAGAACTAAATCATATACAGAAACCTTTAGAACATTGCTTGGCACATGATACATATTTGATTTTGTAAGCTGTTAATATCAGCAAATTATATATAATCAATATTTTCTGCCTCTTGAGAGGGAAGGCAATAGAGGACAAATTAGAATGGACCCATGTGTTCATCTTCTTTTTGTTTCCAAAGCCTTTATCCCAAGTTCACATTTAGGCCACTACAAAATTCGTGCAGCCCACAACTTTTGTACTTATTTTTCAACTTCATATTATCCATTTCATACATGTCACTTGATTATACTGATTCCTAGTGTACTAGTTTAAATTTTTTACTAAGATACAACTCTCATACTGTAAAATGGTCAAACCATTGAGTTTGGACAAATATATGTAACTGTGAAATCACCACCACAATCAAAATATAGAACATTTCATCCCCCAAACTTACCTTGTATGGCTTGGTAACCAATCTCCCCTCACTCCAGCCCCGGGCAAGCAGCAATCTGATTTCTAGTCCTAAAGCTATCCAAATTCAACAGTGTCACAGCATGTAGCCTTTTGTGTCACTTTGTGTTCCCTTAGAATATGTTTTTTGTGATTCATGCATGTTGTTGGATGTCTGGGTAATTTATGACATGTTTTCATTGCTTCTTTTTGTAGCAAATGGTTTTCCACTGTATGGATGTACCACAACCTGTTTTAACTATTCAGCAGCTGATGGACACAAGCTCTTTCTAGTTTTGAGTTAAGCTGCTTTAAGCATTTACATACAGGTCCTTTTGTAGACAGGTGTTTTCATTCTTCCTAAGTAAATAGTTACGAGTGGGATTGCTGGTTTGTATAGGAATTTCATGCTTAGTTTTATAAGAGACTGTCAAACTACTTTCCAAAGTGACTACCTTCTTGCAGCCCATTAGCAATGTGTGAATATGATGAGTGCTAATTTCCACGCAGTTTTATTTGCAACTGAAGTTAATTTCTCCATTGAACCTTCCCTACTATTCCCCAACAAGCTCACTGTACAGATGATGATACTTTTTTTTTTTTTTTTGGTACTGAGGTTTGAACTCAGGGTTTTGTGCTAGGTAGGTGCTCCACTACTTGAGCCATGCCTCCAGCCCAGTGATATTATTTTTAAAATATGAAGCGTGGCCTGGGGATGTAACTCAGTGGCAGAGCACTTGCTTAGCATGTGCAAGGCTCTGGGTTCAATCCTTAGTACTGCAAAAAGAGAAAATAAACAAACCAACAAAATATGAAGCATGTTACTGAAGTATAGCAAATATACAGAAGAAGGAACACACATAAGTATATGACTTGAATTTTGACAAAGTAAACACAATATAACCAGCACCAGATCAAGAAATAAAATATTACCAGGTGTAGTGGTACAGGTATAATCCCAGCACTTGGGAAAGTAAGGCAGGATGATCGATCATGAGTTTGAAGTTAGCCTCCAAGGTGACATGAGACCTTGTCTCAAAAAAAAAAAAAAAAAGAAGCAGAATCCTGTAGGATCACTCAAATGCCCATTCCTAGACATTCTTTTCTTCAAATGATGTTATTCCAACTTCCAAAAAGTGTTTTAATTTTTCCAGGTTTGAACGTAATAAAAATTGAATGATACAGATTCTACTCTGGTGTATCTAGCTATATGTCATGTTTGGAGGAGATCACTTGCCTTCATACAGTGCAGGCCACTTATTTTTGTGCTCCATAATACCACAGTTGTTTCCAGTTTGGATCTAGTAAAATCAAATGTTGTTATAGCTTTTTTCATAATAGCCTCAAACTAGAAACAGTGCAAATATCCATCAATAAGAATGGACAATTAAATTGTAGTATTCTCATATGATAGGGATTATTCTCATCAATAAAAAGACTGAACTACTGGTAATACAGTACTATGGGTAAATCTCAAAAACTTTATGTTAATTGAAACAAGCCAAACACTAAAAAGTACATCAAGTATGAAGTCCAAGAATAGGTAAAACAAATTTGCAGTGATAAAAATTAGAAAGTGGACTGGGGCTATGGCTCAATCAGAGAAGCTCCAGCTTTGCAAGCACAAAGCCATAAGTTCAGACCCCACTCCAACCCAAAAAAAAAAAATCAGTGATGTCTGGGAATGCAGGTAAATGGAAATGAGCATAAGTTGAAGAAACTCTCTGGGAGGATAATGAAAATGTTCCATATCATGGTTTGTTTTGGCTGGTTACTTACATGAGTGTACACAAGTAAATGCACCGAACTAAATGAACACTTCATATTTGTTCATTCCTGTGCATATTAGTTATAATTCAATAAAAATTTAGTACTGAAGCTGCTTAGTCTTAAAAATGCTGCTATGAACAATACCTGGCTTTTGGAATACATGTGTATGCACATGTAGTGGGTATATAGTAAGCAGTAGAATTGTTGGGGCACAGAGTACATATGAATCATGATACTGCCACTTAACAGCTGTATGACATTGGGCAAGTACACAGAATCTCTAGCAAATACCAGTTTCTTTATCTGTACCAAAGAGCTAATCTCTCCTTGATGGGGGAAAATCTGGGAAGACTGCTTTTGTTAATTAACAAAAGGACTTACTGCTGAGAGCTCTTATTGTCAAAAGTCCTAGATTTTTAGAAAGTTTGCTATTTGAAATATTAGTAAGAATGGAATATTCTACACTTCCCTGTAGGAGCTGAGTTACTTGGACACAGAGAAGCAGCCTCAATTTCTAAACCAGGTGCAGAGCTTCAGATAAGAGGGTTCCAAATACAACACTCCACATTCATCTTCACATTTTAGTTTCCAAGGAAACAGGATCCTGAATCCTCTTGATAACTCAGGCCTGACGATGATCCCTTTACACATAGCTCAGTGTGCTTGGAGGCTATCACAACACTGTTTCTGGTCTTGGGACATGGCTCAGTGGTAGAGTGCTTGCCTACCATGATCAAAGCCCCGGGCTGAGCTCCAGTACTTCAAAAACCAAACAAAAACACAGAAACAAGCAAAAAACCCACCACTGCTTCTTTTAAATTTTGCCTATATTCTATCTTTCCTCCAAATCCTAGGTTAATGCTCCCTCTTGCTGGGGCTGGTGACATTCCCCATGATTTCACATGATTTTATGCAGTTTTCTTTGCATAAATTTAACTCTTAAGCTACTGGTGGTCTTTATCAGATGGGCTTTTAAATGTAATTATTGATAAGGTATACAAAATGTGTTCGCATTGCCTGGCACCTAATGGACATTTAAGAAATGATAAAATTATTTTTGTACTATTTTTGTGTTAATTTGGACATTTAGTATTTGCAAGGCACAGATTTATGAGAGATTCACATATGGAAAGCCACTTTTATTTTTCATGGAGAAAGAAGACAACTATGTCTTCCATTTCTAGGAAAAAGATACCTTTACTGAGCTTCACTTTAAATAGTCAAATTAAATTTTAAAAATCCCAATACTATTTTTATAGGTAAAAATACAATTTACACGTTTTTTAAAAATAGGATATGGCATAAAACTATGAACTCCAGGAATTGTTATGGTTTTAATGACCAGAACAAGAACTTCAAGTTCTTGTGGGGCATGTGAGGCATGACTGCAATCCCAGGACTCATGGGGTAGAAAGATATTGAGTTTGAGGCCAGTCTGGGTTACATGATGAGTTCTAGGCCAGCCTGTGCTGCATAGTGATACTCTGTCTTAAACAAAACAGAAACACCTTTTAGTACCATGGGTTCCTTTCTGGTTTTTGTTTTGCTTTGATACATGACCCCTCCCTCCCGATTTGACACAGGTTCTTGCACATGCTAGGCAAGTGCTCTACCACTGAGTTAATTTGTCACTTTTAGTATAGAAAAAATGCTCTCATAAGTGTACTCCAATGAAAAATAGAAATAGCCTTGCTTTAAAATGCTCTAAGACTGAACATAGGTTCATTCACACATTTGGGGTCCTCTCCCACACAGGCAAGCTGCTTTCTCTCTTTGAGCTTCTCAGAGTTTGCAAAGCAGGCTGGAGTGGGGTGGGGTGGAGAACACAGCAAACTGCCAGTTACCCTTCACTTATCATCATCTTGATTCTTCCAAACCAAAATTCTATCTGCATCTTTCCTTTTACCTATGTTCAATAAAATGCAATTTTCTATGGAAGTATTGTGCAGTTACACTCCAAATTGACTAAGGAAACGGTTTTTAAATTTTAGGAGTCTAGTTCTCCAAGAAATCCTGGTTTGGGATACAGATGAATAGGTTATTTGAAAGGAATTTTGATACAAAATGAATGTGGGAAAATGGCAATGACGGTAGAGTCAGTTTAGTGTTTGGGTTTTACAGTGAAACATCAATAAAGCGATTAACATCTCCGGTCTTAATTTTTTTTACCTGTGAAAGGGGAAATAATGTTTATTTTCCCGAGTTATTTTACATAATTTTTTTAAAAATCGACTTTCCTTTATCTGTTTTAAGGATAAAAATACAGACTGAACATCATTCCTTGATGTGAAAGTGCTTTGCAGTGAACAAGTGAATTGCAGTGAGCACTCACACACAGTACGTGCTCAACACATATTATTTTTTCTTGCTTAGTAGAGGTGTGGAGGGAGAAATGAAAATGGTTTGGAAACCATCAAAATGCTCCGCGAATACTACCAAACCCGTATAGGATGGAAGTAAGGAATTTTGGGTTATGGTTTGGTTATGGATCTGAGTCTCCAGGTTGTTTAGTTCTCCCATATTTGGGGCTAAATTCTCAGAATAGAACAGAATAAGATGTAAGGGCTGAGATCAGCTGGTACAATTTTATGCAAATCGAAAAATTCTTGCCTCCTGTCTCTGTGCCCTGGAGAGAAACAACACTGCCATCCAAGCTCAGCCAATCCGATGCCCAACTTTGTGACGTCATCATCCCTCCCTGCATCCCCCGCCAAGCCTGGAGGAGTCAGGTATCTAAGTTACCATCCAGTATTGGTCCAGCGGCGCCTGCGCACTGAGGGGGGGTGGGGCGTACGCGTGCGCGCTGCGTGTGGGCGGGGCTAGTGCGCACGCAGCCTCAGCCCCTTCCCCGCCCTTTCTCTTCCCGGTTTCACTCTCAGCCTGTGAGTCCCGGCTGGTGGGTGCTTCCGGTAAAAGCCTGGTGCAGGGCAAGCGGGTCTCAGCTCTCGTCATGTCTTACGGTCCCTTAGATTTGTACCTGAACCCGGGGCCCTCGGGGCCCCAGCACCGGGACTTCAATAGCATCATCCAGACGTGCAGCGGCAACATACAGCGGATCAGCCAAGCCAGTGAGCGGGGGGACCCAGCTGGGAGCGGGGGGCGTCTTGGGGACAGGCCTGGGTGAAGCTGAGAGGACGCGGATCCCCGCAGGGGCTACGGCTAAGGCCACACCTGAGGCCATCACTGGCTTCCACTCTGGGACGGAGAGCTGCCATCTCCGCGTCTGTCAGGCCCGGGCTCCCGAGGGTCCCCAGCCCCAGCTGAAGCTCCAGTTTCTTCTCAGGAGTTCTGTCTCCCGGTATTGGGGGCCAACACAGCTGACCTGACAGCCCCAGGGTGGGTGGGGAAGTGTGTGTCACCTCGAGGGCATTGAGTGCCTTGACTTGGCGCAGTGGTCAGCCGGGTTTTTCCTGTCACCCGCCGTCCTCACACCCAACTAGCTTTCCTCTTTGGCCAGCTTGGATCGGGGGTTGTTTGCTGATTGAGACTTTAGGTTTACATTCAGTTCAGCCACTGGCCCCTCGGAAATCAGCAAATTTCAATTAAGGGAAGTGGGGAGTGCATGTGTTTGAGTGACTTAGTACACAGTTCTTCCTGTAATGAATTTAGAAATCAGACACAATGACTGGTATTTGAGCGGTGGATGACCTCTATTTTAATAAAGAGAATTCATCAAACATATTGCAGTTTTGTCTTTGGTAGCAAAGAATTTGTTTATATTTGGATTTCACACAGGTGAGGCTTCCATTTTCCTCTGTTAAGGTACTCTTTTGAACAAATCTGATACACAGAGAAACTCAAGGACTTAACCACAACCACATAGAAAGTAAGAAATGGTAAAGTTAGAGGTGGAAGTCAGAATGTCATCAATTGTCTTAAACCTCCCTCCTCACCATTAGGGTCTGAGTGAGGCTAGGTGAATGTAGCCTACAAATATAGACTGTATCTTGGCTTAAAAGTCAGCTCAGAGCCTTATAAACAGTAAAAACCAGTAGCAGCTTTACTCAGAAAGAATGGTGGTCATCATCCTTGTTTATTATTGTGTTTTTTGTATGTGTGTATGTGTGTGTGAGCTTGGCTGTACTCTGTTAATAGGTTGAACTAGTTCCTCCTGAATTATAATTATGTTCTATATTTTAAAGAACAATATATCATTTTGTTTTTAAATTTAAATGTATCTTGCAGAATTTGAGAGGTAGAAAGTTTCTGATGGAAAGGCATTGATATTGGGTGATATGAAAGTGAAAAGAACAATATGTGGCTTGTTAAGTCCAGAAATAAAAAAAAATTAACACGACTGTTGATTAGAAAGTATAGTACTTTGTGTTCCAGTTTCCTTTTGAGAAGGAGCTGTAATACAAATTAGATCACCAAATTCTAATTCAAGGCTGAAATTTTCTCTTTAAGGCTAAATCTCACTTTAATAACTATTTGTAAATTATTCTGTATTTGTCTGAGTATCTAGCTGTGTAGTAAGTTTATGACTGGCATGGGTTTGTTGCACAGGGAGTCTTTGGAATCATAAACAACCAAAATATAAAGTTGAAAGAGATTAGTGCTATAGAAGAGGTATAAATAACATTGTGTAAATATTGAGTTATCAGGGATCAGGGAAGGCATTATGGCATTTAAGTAGGTTTGGAAAGAAGATGGAAGGGATGTGAACCTTTGAAAATAAAGAGGAAAAGAGCATCCTCAGAGGGAATAAAATAAACAGGCATGGTAGTGGGAAAGGGTAAAGTATATATAGAAAAGGTAATCCAGCTAGAGTGGGGGATTCATAAAACAATGGAAGGTGTAAATTAAATTAGAGGGGAGAGAGGCTGGAATCAGGGACTCCAGTTAGGGACTGTGAAAATGAAAAGGAAGGAAAGGATAGGAACGGTTTCCTTGGTGATAGAATTGGTAAGATTGAACTGTTGATTGAGGATTGGGCTGGAGAGGATCATTGGAGTCAATCAATCATAATATTAATAACTACCGTTGAGTACATACTATGTTCTCCATGTGCTGGGCAATATGAAAAATGCTTTACCTGCAGCATGTCACTTAATTTATAACACTGTGAAATAATTACCAATTTTGAGAAAGGTTAGATAATTGCCCAGCTAACAAATGGTAATACATAAACTTGAAATCAGGTGTGTCTCTTATGACCAATAATACATGTATGTATATATATACATATGTAATGAATTGAAAACGTGTATAATATGTCATTATAATTGTGTATATAATTATCAGTTTTTGTGGTGCTAGGAATTGAACCCAGGGCCTCACACATGCTAGACAAGTCAAGTGCTCTACCACTAATCTACACCCCAAGCCCTTTCCTATATATGTATTTATTTTTTGGTGGAACTGGGGTTTGAACTCAGGGCTTCACGCTTGCAAAGTAAGTGTTCTACCCTTTGAGTCACACCTCCAGGCCATTTTGCTCTGGTTATTTTGGAGATGGGGGCTCATGAACTGTTTGCCCCTGCTGGCCTCAAACTGTGATCCTCCTGATCACAACCTCCCAAGTAGCTAGGATTACAGGTGTGAACTACCGTTGCCTGGCTCCTTTTATAATTTTTAATTACCTGTCCTTTTTTTTTTTTTTTTTTGCAGTACTGGAGTTTGAACTCAAGGCCTTGCACTTGCTAGGCAAGTACTCTACCACTTGAGCCTTGCCTCCAGCTATTACAGTTCTGTAGCAATTAATATTTAAGTATACAAGTGGCCTGTTTTATACTCTTCAGAGTACACTGGGTTGGGGGGATCACTGAAGTTGTCCTTTCTTTTCTTATGATGTGCCCATCTCCCCTGATAGATCATTAGCTCCTTTGAGGTAGGGGAATGACTTACTCATCTTTATGTTTCTACTATTTATTCAGTTCCAAGCATATGATAGATTAATTCATTCACTATGCAACAAATATTCCTTAAGCACCTGCTGTATGCTGGGGGTAGAGCAATAAACAAAAGACAAAATGCTATCCTGATAATATGTGGAATGTGTGTGTGTTTGTGTGTGTGTGTGTGTGTGTGTGTGTGTGTGTATGTATAAAAGTACACATACCTATATGTATATACATACACATACAAATATTATCAAGTGATAATAAGTGCAGTGAAGAAAATAAAGCAGGGTAAATGAATAGAGAGTGAAGGGAGAGGGGATAGGTGTGTTGTTTTAGGTAACTTGGTCAAGGAAGGTCTCTCTGAGGTAACATTTGAGTGAATAGACACCTGAATGCAGTGAGGGAAAGAGCTATGTGAGTAGTGGGGAAAGGTATTTTACGCTGAGGGAAAGAGCAAAGACTTTGGTGTGTTCAATAAATAGCAAGTTGGCTAGTGTGGCTGGACTGCAGGTAGAAAAGAGGAGTGAAGTAGGAAAAAAGTCAGAGAGATAGCCAGGGGTCAGATCATATAGAGTATTACGGCTTAATAATTGTATTTGCTAGATGCCAGAGGTTGATGCCTATAATCCTAGCTATTTGAGAGTCTGAAATTGGGAGGATCATGGTTGCAGGCCAGCCTGGGCAAAAATGTTTGCAAGACTCCATTTCAACTGAAAAAAGCTATGTATGGTCTATTTACCTGTCTTTTCAATGAAATGGAAAGCTTAAAATAGGGGGTTCTAGTCCAGGCCTGCCTGGGCAAAGAGCAAGATCCTATCTCTAAAATAACTACAGCAAAAAGGGCTAGAGACTGGCTCAAGCAGTAGAGCTCCTGCCTAGCAAGTACAAAGCCCTGAGTTCAAACCCCAGTACTGTCCCCTCCCCCACCAAATTAGTCAATTGATTTTTATCAGTGAGGCTTTTCTGCCATTTTTGAACTCATTCTGCCTCTTTTCCCTAGTATCATGTGGTACCTACCATATCCTGTCACCCTAGGCAATGTGAGTTGAAATTCTTCCTTTGGGTTTGTTTGGTGAGGAATTGGGAATTTGAAATTAGTAGGATGACATTGAGTCTATCTAGTTATCCTGCTAGTGCCTATAATCCAAGCCTCTCGTGGCATGACTGGCATACCCAAGTACACCCTCAGAATGTAGGCTTGCAGATGCATTCTCACCTACTCATACACTCCTGCAAGGACCAATACCAATTGAAAATTTGAGAAAAGAGCTTATTTTTTTGGTCCTAAACTGCTCAATCACAGACATGGATTTGGAATTGCTGAGCACATCAGCCTGAGAGAGGCAGCCCACTATGTGGGTTGTCCTAGGTACAGCTATGTTCTTAGGTACAAACAGTTGTTATCAGTCCGTGTGGGATGAGAGGAAGAATACTTGACTCTGCCTGCTGTGAAATGAAGGGTCTGGAGATGTTGCTGAGACAGATACAGGGAAAAAACCTATTAGCCTGAAAGTTCACACTGAGGAGGTCAAAGAACAGTATTTCTGCTCCTTATGTGACTTCTTTGTTGATGTGTTTTGTTTACTGAAAAAACAAGAAACAGTAGAACTTTTAAAAGCTCATGAAATCCTATGGGTTCTTCTTTCAAAGTTATTTTCACATTTATCTCTTTTTATTTCATTTCTATACCCTCAAGTCTTCATCGTGTCAGCATCTATTCCAATAGCATACTCTAGTGTGTCTGATTGTAGTCTTGTGTCATTCTAAAGTTTATCCTGATGATGCTATCAGCAGTATGTCTAAATTCCCTTTTTTCTCTTAAACTTCCAACTTCCTCAAGAACCCATGTTTGCTTTGTGTTGTCTGCTGTTAGATTTTTGCATTCCACCATTCATTTTCTGTTGGCTTAACCCAAATTTTCTACTCCTCACATTTTGCTACAGGCAGGTATTTTGTATGTGTGTGTGTGGGCAGGAGAGAGGGAACTGAACCTGGGACTTATATATGCTAGGCAAGCACTGTACCACTTACATCCCAGCCTCCAACATTCTTGAGTCATATTTTTTTTATCTTGTTTTTGCTCATTCTCTCCCTCTTTTCTTTAATATCTTTCTTTTCCCTACCTCACTGGCTATCTGAATGATGCAAATCCTTTGAGTTGTGCTTAAATTCTGCCCCTTCTAACTAGGCCTTCTTTTGCTGTTCAAAGATAAAGTGGATTCAGA